TCCGCCGCGAGACAACGGGGACATTGGGCGCGGGGGGGGGGGGCGGCGACGGCGGTCGACCGAACGGGCGAAGGATGTCATTAACATACTGACAAAGGTTGTAGGTATTATCTCCAACCTTACAAATGCAAATGAGCGACACCTTGGACTGTGCCGCTCCTTCAGTGGAACCCATTATAGCCCACATTTCATTGTGCTCTGCAGACAGTGCAACGACATGGACTGTATATGAAAAAAGATCACCGTGGCAACAGGAGCCCCAGTTTGAGAAGCTGGGTGTGTGGAAGCCGAGGCCTGGACCAATCAATGACTCAGTGTCTCAGTGAATCTTAGACTGGAGTACTCTTAAATCCACGCAATTACTGCCTTCATCATTACTGACACACATAATAAATTGGGAGAGAGGAAGCAGAGGGTGAGGGAGGCAGGCAGGGAGGGAGGGAGGGAGGGAGGGGGGGTTAGTGGTTACAGTCTTGTGCTGGGAGGGTTGGGGGTTTCAGATCTCCAGCCTTGAGGGGCTGCAGTGTGTGATAACCAAACAGAAGAGTGAGGCACGGTGTTCCTGTAAACGTGTTGTGATTTATAAACACACACTGTTGGAAAATAATAATAATAATAAAAATAATAATATTTAAGTTCCTTATTCAGTCTTTGCAACCCACGCAAGCTGCCACAGAGGGCGCCATAAGGGATATGTGGTTCCTCTGGGACTCAAACCTCTGCTGTGTTACAGTGTTAGAGGATGAACAGTTGGGTTTAACAAGGGAGAAAATACTTGATTATAACTAGGACTGTCCAATAATATTGATCGATTGATATTATCGGCTCGATAGTAGCATAATTATGTAATATTTTTAAGAATCGTTATTGGGTTTTTCCTCTGATAATGAAAACCCAATAACGCAACGCCTGGGTTTCACCAAATGTTTATAGTTTTGGGGATAAACGGCTGAATATTAAAGTGAAAGTCACTAGATGGCAGCATTGCAGCTCATTTGATTAATCTCATAGTCATACAGTGGTTTGTACATATAAATATTACCAGGCCTATATCGGTATCGGAAGTTAAGAACAATATCGGCATATCGGATATCGGCAAAAAGTTCGGACTTCTTTAATCATAGCTTATGCTGGACTTTATCCTGGGGGATTCGGGACACTAGGACCCTGCGGAGACGACAGCAGCAGCAGCAGCAGCCTCAGCAGCAGCAGCAGCAGCAGCTCTGGTCTCATTTCTCTGCTCCATCTCCGCAGTCACTGTGTGAGTGGAGGAGCGGAGCACGGAGCGACACGTCCGACGTCCGCAGCAGCAGCAGCAGCAGCAGCAGCAGCAGGAGCCTCACAGGTGGAACATTCTGTTGACACGTCTGTAAGTCAGCCAGGGAGGATGAGGAGGAGGAGGAGGATGGTGCACCAGGCGAATGAAGGGGTGAGAGGAGGAGGAGGAGGAGGAGCGGGGGATTACAGTGGCAAGTGTCTGAGCTGCATTCAGAGGTGCAGTGATTGATGCCCACTGTGTTCTCCGTCAGTGGCAGCAGCAGCAGCAGCAGCAGCAGCAGCAGCAGGTCTTCATCCTCACAGAGGCAGCACACGGCTGCACACAGAGGGAAACACTCGGATTCAGGTACATCATGTCTCACGCCGGTCTCAGTGGCTGCCTCCACATTTTTTCCACTTCTTCTTCCTCCTCCTCCTCATCTTCCACTAATGGAGCCTCATCATATTCTCATGAGCTTAAACCCAGGGATCACGTGTGTGTGTGTGTGTGTGTGTGTGTGTGTGTTTAGACCTACCACCTACTGAAGCTTATTTAAATATTTCTAAAATTAAAGATATGTTTTTAGCCTGATTCCCATCATTCCTGACCGTAGACAGGAGCGGTTTCATCCTGGTCTTCTGAGCCTCCGTAGCTCTAGGCAAATGAGTTTCTCCCCTAATCTGACATGTACACAGCAGCAGCAGCCGCCGGCGCGAGAGCAGGCGGCAGCAGCGGCAGCAGCGGCAGCAGCAGCCACCCATGTCTGTTGTAACAGTTAGGAACAGACAAATGTACAAACAGCCTCTGTGACATCTGGGCGTGATTTTGAAAAAGCAGAGAAACTCCTGATTCTGATTTTGACCTGGAACGTCATGTAAGTATGATTTGAGTCTGATGAAGTAGTACAGAAAACTGTACAATGTACAGTTTATTTGGAGTACTACATTACAGAGTAATGAGTCTTCAAAGAGGAGGCTCTCAGTTTTTAGATCGGACAGAAAAGGTCTCGTCGATTTAACAGGTCAAGTTTTGTCCATTTGATACTTAATGACTCGGATATAAAATGAATTAATTTGAGATAATTTGACTGACCAAGATGTAGAGTAAAAGAAGTATCCTTGAAAGGAAACACTGCTGAATGTGAGTGATCTCTCGGCCTTGGATTGGTAGACGTGTTGTAGCCACTGTAGGATTACGTCAGTGAAAAATACAGTTTTTATCTGATTACATATTTTTATTTTGAACTATATTTATGTTCTGTGGGACTTTTTTAAGGCACAACTGTCCTGCCTGCTGTCCAGATCTGACCTATGTTGCCTGTGGCATCGTGATTGGAGGATCAGACAATATATATAT